ATATATATACACATATATATAAATATATAAATATATATATATATATATCTATCTATCTATCTATCTATCTATCGAGAAAGGGAACTTTCGGGTATTTTTAGTCGGTGTTTTCTGCGTATGTTGAAGTACACTTGTCTGTTTATTCTCTGATATTTATTCATAACGGAACTTACCAGTTCTGCTAAAGCAAAACGTGCGTCAATGTGAGCTCGATTTCGAGTGGAGTCGGACAACACCTCAGCCGCTCTGCACCAGTAGTATTTTCTCTTACTTTTGTGGGCGGTTTCGTATACGCGCTTGAGTGCTGTCCTTTCCGCATTGATATGATAAGAATAATGGAAATCTGAGGATTTCATTTATTGTTGATTCTGAACTACTCGCAAATCAAGACGTAATCGCTCTGATCTACTCCCTATCGCCGACTGTACGTATACTGATAGAGCAATGGTCAACGATCGTTCGATATTAGGATACCATTCGCAAACGAGACGCTATACTGTTTACGAATTTCTCGTTCCCACATCGTTATGTTACTGTAGAGTTACCGTATCAGCAAAACTGAACTCGAGACGAGATGGCAGTAATGTAAATCTACTAACAGTTTTTTAACCGTTTTTACTAACGTTTACACATTTAAACGTTATCACACTGCCCTCGAAACACCGTCGAATGCCTAAGTTTAATTATAAAGACAATAACTTGTCTGCAAGTCGGACATATTATTTTGGGGTCGTTGTACAAGAAGCGTTTGTAGGCTTAGCGTTAAACTAACAACGGGGTACACTTTGTTCCGCAATTTTTATTTTCTATTTCAATGCAGGAGGAGCGACGTCGTGACCATTCATCAGAAGACGATGAAGGCGATGACGAGGAGGAAGATCAGACCGATTCGGAGTCTGAGAGCGAGCATCAGCACAGCGACAATCTAAATTCATCGACACTGTCGACGGCAATAACAGCCACGTTAGCTTCTGCGACGATGTCAAACACAAACACCTTTCCAGTTGTCACCAGTTACCTTCCTAACAACAATAACAACAACTATTACAAGCCAGCCAGGGCAGTCAACGGTGCGACGTGAGTATTTACAACTATTAACTATAGACAACAACTGTCGAAGGTCTTCCCGCCTCCAGTTTACAAAAGAACGAATTTTCTCGATGAATGCACCTTTACAAAATATAGTAGTAGCGGTCGCTAGATTCATACACGATGGAATAAGCTGGATGCTGCTTAGTATCCATCAGTTTTGAAAATATAGGCGAAAATCCAATAAAAAATCTCACTATTCTTGTCATCTACGTTCCGCACAACTAAAACGTTATATACCCGTAAGATAATTGTAGATCAGCCAAATATATGATACAATAGGTCTGACGAATGTAAGCTATGGCGGATGAAAAAGAGCCGTTGTACGGCAAGCAAACAGACTGTGCGAACCGCTGTTTTAATGGTGCCAACTGCATTAAAGCACTATTTTTTGGCATCAGGAAAGGAGAACTTATCATTTTGACACAACTAGATTTATTGTACTGGATCATTCTAGACAACAGTCAGAACAACACATCAGCTAATATAGATGTGAAGCATCTGCTTACCTACATCCGATCATACGAGTCTGTAGTTTCACATATGAAGGCCCTTATTATTGGAGTATATCTTTGCCAACACGCTATTCTCGTTTACTGCGATTGCGCATGCAAATACAGTATTCTCGTAACGATAAAATAACAAAAGAAAAACCGGGAAGCACGACAGACACGTGATTCAACGTCATCGGCAAACCTCGGCAGTTGTTCTGCTTACGATCTGTAATTGTCAAGGGCTACTCCACGGATACTCCCGGGTATAATGAAATGAAAATATTATGATGCAAAATTGCTTACCTACAGTTTGTAGGGTTGTTAAGCAAGAACTGTTGATGAAGTTAACACTTTTCGTTGCGTAAGCCTTTGTGGAGAACGCGACCGCTCGCTTGTGTTGGTCACCATCGGTATGATTGTAGCAAAATGAACTAGTACTAAGTGCTGATGCTATGATGTCTTAAGCACGTTTATTTAAGCGGTGTGATCTTAACTTGACGGCTTCTGGTGTCTTGGTGCTTTTTGGTGGCACTCATTGCAGCATGTTGACGGAGAAGGCATTGGCAAATGTTCCCACAATCGCAGTGGGTTCCGCCGCCCCCCCGGCCGCATCTCCCCTTTCAGCCGGTCATTATCATCACTCGGACACCACTGTCGTCGGCGGTATGACACAGCTAAACACGACGCTCAGTCTGGCTCAACTTGGCCTCACGCCATCACACAGGTCGGCACTGTTCACACGAGGCCATAGAACGACGCCTCACAGTGCACTAGGCGCAATGAGCGCCCCCTCAGTTCTGGGCAGCGGAATCCGTACGACCAATTGGAATGACAACGTCCGTGATCGAAGAACTGTCTCGAATGGCGTCCAAATCCCTACAGCTGGCCAGCAGCTCAGTTCGGCCAACAGCAACTATAACATAAGCATAACCTCGACGTTCAGTGCCGACGGATCACAAACGGATTGTCCTGGAAGGGGAGCTGGCGGACTGCCCGCCACCGTCACGGAGTCAAGGGAGCATGAAGCAGCCAGATCACTTCTCGATTTGGCTAAACCCAACTCGACGAACAACTGCAGCAACAATAGCGATAGCGGGAACCAGCAAACAGCATTGGCACCATCATCGACGTCAGAAGCAGATACTTCTACAGTAAATATTAGCAACAGCTGTTTGCTACAAAATAGCAGCGAGACTCAATTGCAACAACAGCAAGTTGAAGTGTCGGCAGGAACCGCCGAAACAGGTCGGGCTGATGAGGTGCCTGTACATGCTAGAGAGCATAGCCAGAGTCCAGAAAGACGAACCGCTTCAAATCGACTACTCCTATTATTAAAAGGTGAAGCCGCACTTGAATCGTCCGAAAACGATGGGCACACGACAACAGGACCTCAGAGGCAGAGTGAAACCGTCTTAATTTTATCTGCTGCTTTAGTCGCGGCTTCAGAAACAGCAGGGATATCCGCTACCGCCGATCGCATCAGCCAAGTATCATTATCATCATTAATATTATCATCAGTGGAGAGAGAAGCTGAAGAAGCCAGGCGCAGGCCCGCCGTGGACAAAGCCGTCGCCGTAGACCAGATCAACAACAATAACATTAACTACAACAACAGCAGCAGTCACAGCGATAACATTACCGCAGAAAAAAGTGCAGTAGTAATCGTAGAAGAAACAACCGACTGGGAGCGAGAGCAGAGCATTTCATCGGACTCCGCCACTAACCCCACCGCAGTCGCCGGAGTCGCTGCCGCAATGGAGCTAGGGGGCCAGGCTGCTACTGCTGACTGTGGTGGAGGAGACTCAGCCCTGTTTTCCCGGAAGCGGAGCAACACGTTAGAGCTATCTGGTGCGTAATTGACCCACTCTGAATATGGACAAATATGTATATATTTATATTTTTTCAAAGAAATGCTTTGTTTCTAAAGCTGCATTCAAACAATAATGGTTGTTTCATGTGTTAAGTGTCATTCCTGATGGTCGCCTACTCAATATAACCACCATCCAGCGCGAGTATATTTTCAATTCAGGACCTAAACTATTAATGAATTACTTTCATAATATCTGTTCTGTAATTCGCTAATGACTTTTCAATAGCAACCCAGCGTCAAGCGATATTGGTAAGTGTAAACTTGGTGAAGTGCCAAAAATCCGAATGGAATTAAATTATAGGCCGGTAGTAAGTCAAAATTACCAAACATGCGAGGATTTAAAACGGCCAAAAAGTTCAAAAGGTGCGGAAGAGCGCAAAAATAATAGTCGTTAGAGTTTATCGGAACAATTCAATTCACCTTCTGTACAAAAAAACTTGTAGGTATCGAAAATAGCTTTTAAAGCCACCTTGATGGATTTTTGAACTCAAATCTAAAGTCTATGGAAGATCTTTCCTTGTGAAAACCTCCTTCGGATTTCTTACAGTCGCGTAAAAACTAACAATAACGTAGATTCTTGATTTCGGGCGAGTAGAGATCTTAATTCCGGTGGGATATCGTTCTGCGCGGAAAGAATAAATAACAACTGATCGTTCCTTGGAATCCGAAAATACGGACTGTTGTTTGCCACAGCGAATTTATTGTTAAAAAGAACTGGCTTTCACCTGGTAGCAGGAAAAGTGGATGCCCCCGATGACAAACAGTCTGCCGCGTTCTTCTCAATTTGAACGAGCCACCCTACACATACACACACATATATATATATATATATATATGTATATATATATATATCGATTTCGTTTGCACAATTAATGCCTTTATCTGTTCACATTTATTATCTTAGAAAAGTTAAAAGGAGAGGAAACGTGTGTTTAGTTAATGTAAACAATTTTTTGATTGACGTATGCTATATTTGAGTGTTGTATAAATATCTAATCCAATAATTGTCCTAATTTGTACTGACAAAACTGATTTGCTTTTGTAAGCGATGCGGTCTATTTTTGTTCCACTTGAGATTTCGTGAAATATTTTTTCTTTCAATTATTAGCGCTTATATGGCTCCCATTCATTAACTATCTCGTGTGTATATTTGTTACTGTCGTTTACAGGTCTGGCCGGAGCTCGTAAACTGGTGGCAGAACCGCCAACTATTGAGCCTCCTCGAAAAAAAAGCTCATGCGTTCGCTCGGTCCAGGTGGGCATTATTGAGGAGGGAGGCTCAGTGCTCAGTCCACAAGAAGCCTATTTTGTCGAACATAACAACAATAATAATAATAACAATATGCATACCAGTAATACTAATCAAAATAACATGAACAACAACAGCAATCAAACGCATGCCGTTAGCCCATCCGCACAAACTCAGTATGGAGAATCACAGCAGCACGCCTACAGGACGCCGCAGAACGTTATCGACGACAACAGTCAGGTATGCAAAAACATAAATATATATGCACGAAGCTTATGTACTATGTGCTGTCAGCTGATATACACATATACAGAATATTGCAACAAAGACCGACATGTGGGATTTATAGGCCATAGATGACTATTGTTATTGTATCAAAGAAAAATATTTATGCCTTGCTGCGAGAGAATCCCGTTTCTCGACCTACTCAGCTATCTACCATACAAAGCTAACACTTCCAACGGTTATATAGCTAGCTGTTCTACGCAAAACATTTATATACATAAACGGATTAGATAGGTCCTCTGTTAACAAGAACGAGTTTGTATATATTTAAAGTGACGAGTGTTTTTTGTTCATTGTATAGGTGGCGGCGTCGGGGCTATTTCCCGTACAACGGGTAGTTAACCCTGGAAGTTTCCAGGGCCCACCTGCTTTAGCAGCAAGCCCAAGTTGCCACTTGCCTCTTGAGGGAGACCAATCTCCGTGTTTCCCGGAAACGCGTCCCCGGTCGTTGTCTTTCGACCAGCAGCCTCTTGGCGCGGAGTACGACCGACGTTACTCTCTTGTTGAGGAGGGTGAGAGCTCGTCGTCGTCGTCAGCCCTTTTGCGGGGTCCCACGCCAGGTGTTGGCCGAGGTGACCAGCCGATGGACCTTCGAGTAGTTTCGACGCGTGCCAGGAGGCTCGAGATTCTTCCGGGCGGCATTGTCTCGCAACCATTACAGCCATTTGCCACCCGCGACCCGCGAGAACCTCATCCGATCATGGTACCTGTGGGAACCATGGCTGCTGGCGGACTGCAGGGTTTAAGTCATGGGGGTCTCCCCATATCGAAGCAGTTTACCGCAGAGCCCCCTGAGACAATTATGGGCTCCTGCATGAGCTATGGCCAAGGTAAGCTGGGCGAAGATGGGCAGGATCCCCAGAGCCCCCCTATGACACCTCTGGGACATTCTCAAGGACATCCGCAACCACACAGTCCAATGAATACCCTTGCTCTTGGAGCTCCAAAGGTGGGTCCCAATGGTGTTATGGGCCCCCTAATCGTGCCCAAGCAGGAGTACGCTCCACCTTCTGACGAGCGTGAGACGCCACATAAACAGGCAGCGATGTCACACAATCTTCACATCCCGGGACCTAATGGTACGTTTTAAACAATTCGTAGAGGTCGAAGCACTTGCTTGAAATTAGTATTCAGGATCAGACCTGTATTTGTTCTAAATGTAACATCCACCCCTTTCCTATTACTGAAGTTTGTTCTCATTTGTATTAGCCTTAATACTGCTCAGTTTCTGATGTCTAACATCTATAATAGACAACTGAGCGAATAACAAGCGTGTGCACTCTTTGCTGCTTTTTTGGGGATATTCTTAGGTGGCCTGATGTGGAGTCAAGGACCGGCGACGTCGACGACGGCAGGTGGTCCTCTTGGGCCTCCGGTGAGCACGTCAGGAAGTGTCGGCCTGCCAGATACTCGATCTGAAGGCCGGCCCCAAGACGGAAGTGGAGTTGGTGGTGGAGGAATAGCGGCCAGGGGAGGCGGTAGCAGCACGGGGGGCGGTGAGGAGGGCAAGTGCGTGTGCAATATTTGCCACAAATCATTTCCTAAGATTTCTCAGTTGCGAATGCATGTCAACATACACTACTTTGAGCGGCCGTTCCGATGTGATGCGTGTGCGGTGTCGTTCCGTACCAGAGGCCACCTTCAGAAACACAAACGCTCGGTGTCGCACTATAACCGGGTGAACATGAATCTGACCTTTGGTACCCCGACGGCAGACAATCCGCGACCGTTCAAGTGTGACGACTGCAAGATCGCCTTTCGCATTCACGGCCACTTGGCCAAACATCTGCGGTCCAAAATGCACATCATGAAGCTTGAATGTTTAGGCAAGCTGCCGTTTGGCATGTACGCTGAGCTCGAGCGCAGCGGGATCAACCTGAACGAGATCGATACAACCGACTGCGAAAATTCGCTCGAGAGTCTTCAAGTGTTAGCCCAACGACTTTACCAGCAGGAAGCGTGCAGTCTCAGGTGGAAAGAGGCTGGCGGGTCCGGCGAAGGTGGCGGAGGCAGTTCAGAGCCCGAGGACGACGGGCTCGAAACGCCGCTTCCGCCTTTGCAGCAGGCGCTAGGCACAGCGTCTGCCGATATGGCTGGCCCGCAGAGCATCGATGCTATAAACGAGCATACGTCAACCATGCAGGCGATACGTCAACCGAGCCCCCAACATCATCATCATCACACATATCCGAGTCGCATGGATTCGCAGCCAACTCCGCCCGTAACTAGCATACCAAACCAACTTAGTCGGCATCATCATATGAACCATCATAGCCTGATGCCATCAGTAGGTGGCTCCGCACAGCCAGCAACAATGCAGCCACTACAGGATCCGCAAGGATCCCGTGGACCGCAGATGTCGTCTCACCCGAGATTGGGGGGTCTTGGACCACCTCACGAGTACCTTGACAGTTCCCAGCAGCACCAAATGATGCCGCAGCAGAATCTCGTCAATCCACTCATGCTCAACAATATGTTACATCAGCAGCAACATCAAATGGGTTTGGGGCCGCCGCACGGGCCCTCCTCCGCTCCCCCAGCTGTAGCTCTCCATCAACATCATCATCATGGGATGGTCAGTCCACAGGCGCCATCGACTGGACAAGGCTTGCTCACTGGCACCTCTCAGGCGCCACCCGACGCCCCACGATCGTCTTGTACCTGCCATATTTGTGGCAAAGTACTCAAATCGGCTAAGTCGCTACAGGTTCATCTCCATACAGAGCACACTGACGAGCAAAGCAAGACTCCTGCGCCATCTGTCGCACCCGGTAACTCAGGCGTACACGGCACTCAGGGTTATGTTCCTCTTGCATCGCATCCGTCACCTCCAACCCAACCAGCACCACCACCACCCCCCCAACCTCCCAATGATATGATGCAGCAGCATCATGACTCTGGTCTTGCCGGATGTCACCTCTGCAACAAATCATTCCAAAATCATATTCTACTACAACAGGTAAGTCTTCACATTTCCTTTTGAGCGGTGCGCATACCTTTAAGCTCTAGATACAACAGATCGTCTATTGAAAACATCATATATTTGATAACCATCAAATTAGCCCATTTCGTCCCGCATCTTTGCTGGCAAAAGCATCATAAAATACATGTGTGTGTTCACTTACCTTTGCTTGTAATAGAATAAATCATGCTCAACTAGAGCGCAGCAGAAGCTAGCTATATTTTGCTATTTTCAATAAAATGTATTGTGTATTTGTTGTACTTTCAGCATTTCAACAACTGCCATCAAACATTTTCTTAATGAAGGAATATGCTTGAAGGATAAACGAAAATAAGTATTGCTTTGGTAGAGTAGATCTTTATGGCAATCCAATCGAAATTGCTTAAAAATGTAAATAGAAAATAGTCATCAACGTCATAAAAATATTGACGATGCCGATAATCACGGTAATGAGGATAACAAGAACGAACATGATTAAAACGATATAGTATAGTAATAATACGAAGATTGTAGAATGGGCAATGTGTAATAATATTACGGATAATACCAATTATAAAAAATGATAACTCTCATCACGAATTCTTATATATATATATATATATATATATATATATATATATATATATATTGTTGTTATTATTAAAATTACGCGTATGATCTAGATAATATGGCGTGTAGGGTCAGAAAATGCATACAGATTAAATATATCCAGATATGTTAGGGCCAGCTTGATTCGCAAATACAGAACGGAAAATTAGTGCTGATCTCAAAGCGAAATAGGTGGATCATCCGCCCCTTGGCATTTTAGTTATAGGTACTATAATCATTGTCTTATACTGTCGATTCAATAATGAATTTGCCAAATTTCACAATTGGAACTTGTTCTGTCACGTTTGACTGCATATGACATTTGATGGTTAGTTTTTATTTTATCGAGCTGCAGAATAGACATTTTACCTAAATCTAGACAAGCAAAAGTGGCTGGGGGCATTTCATTTTTAAAAGCGTCTTTTGTGATTATTTCACTAATAAAAAAAGCCACTCCTATTACCAGTATTTCTGATAATTAATACGAACTTACAAAAAGATTGCCATACACACTTTCTTAGACAAAGTGATTATTACTGCAGTGGATTTTCGCCAATGAGGCCAGTAGAGGCTTGGTCAATGGAAAAAAAGCAGAAGAAAAAGAAAAATACTGGACGCCAATGAATATACTGAAGATAAAAATGAAAAAGGATCAAGTAGTGATAGATAAAGTGCAATGCTTTAGATAGCAGGAGACAGCGGAAAAAGGAGAAAGAACCAAGAGATACAATATAATGTATTAATCATGATAATAGAACTTATTATGATTTAAGATAATGCTAATAAGGATTAAGATTAACGATGACTGACGTCTTTGATGATAATTATTATTATTATCACTGATATTGTAAGGCATGTATGGATCGTGCAGTGTCGTCTATATACAGCCTCTGTGTAGATATAGTGTTGTTGGTTAAGAAGTGAACAAAACGCAAAGAAGAGATGGAACCTTTTTAACGTAAGCTAAATGTTATATAAGACAAAAAAAAAAAAGAAAAGTCGAGGGGGCGAAGGCCAGAGAAGATGGCCGGCCATACTAGTCAGCTTCTGTTAATTGCCGCTGACAAAACCTGTTCAACAAAATCGTACCGGTACCAGAAATTCAGTGAATCGTACTATTATTATCATAATTTCAAAAAGAGGAAACGATGGAATATTAAAAACAATGCCTGTATCGATAGAAAAATACGGATTGTCACCTTTTTCGAGCTCTGTGTGAATATACAACCTAAACAGGACTGATAGGTCCGGCAACCACAATACACACGCAGGCCTGCATATAAATAAAACAGAGAAACAAATCCGTGCATAACACTTACACATTTATGTAAATATTAGGTTACTCTAATACCGTGTCAGAAGTCGTCACATTTAATAAAGGCATATATGTATATATATATATATATATATATATATATATATATATATATATATATATATATATATACATATTGTTGATTTAAAGAACAGTTCGTGTACTTTCTTCTCTATTACTTGGGATGGTGGGTCGAAGCGTAAGCGCATCAGCGTTTAGGTCCAATTACCATACTGTACTATATAGAAAACTCCAGCTCGTAGACCTCATACCTCATCCCTGTGTGCTGCCTTTTTTTGTTCAGCATGTTTCGTTAATTATAGTGAACGACTTATTATGCCGTGAATAGACTGCCATGTGTTTGCTGGGAACATGGATCGAAAATAGTGGGGATTTAAAATCATTTTTGACGAAGTCAAGTATCATCGGCGTGTGGAAAGCCCACAATGAAGGTACCTAAAGTTCTATGAAGGAGCCTTATTAGATTACTGAAATAATACATATTTGCAAATTATAGATGGCCACTTGAAATTCAGGTTAACATTTTATTCAAGCCATCTTTCCAGGCAACAAAGATAAATTTTTACTGTTTTTTTAGGCTAAAACAGGTTAAAAATATCAACGAGATTTGAAAAAGCAGAATTGAACATAAAACGTTATATCTATCTTCATGTGTAAAAGTATAGGTTTTTGTGTAATTTATTTTTGTAAAAATGTAAAAAAATATTAATCAATTATGTGTTGGCAATACTGATTATATAAAACGTCGCTCATAATTAACCATGTAAGATATTTCAAAACTTTTTCAAAGTAAATGACACAAACAAAACTTTTATAATCAAAAATACCACAATTTTTCCTAAACTCTTCTCAGAGTTTGAAATATATTTGTAGGGTATGTATTCCTTTACTTTTTACCATTCCTAAGTAATCGTTGCCTTACTCTAACATATTTTTTTTTTACAACGAAATTATACAAGTGCGCCCATCAATGAATAGTAATTAAAAAATACCAACCAAGCCTGGCAATTCTGTGTATTTTTCAAGGGATTTTCTATCATCATGGTTGGCATATCTCTGTATATCGTGAAATTAATGGGAACATAACCTTTGAACAAAAGGCATTAAATAAATGTGTGGCCTTAAATGACCCCATTTGTTTACCATAGTGACATAATGACAGCAAATGCATTCTCAACATTAATATAAAAAATCTGGATGCAGCTAACGGGCGATCCATTCTGTTAGTGGAAAACTGCCCAGGATCGCACACAGGCCTGAGAACAGAGTATATAAGCTTTTCGAACCATATCGGTTTCATTAAAATCATACACTCTAGATCCCGCAAAATCAAATGTAGAAACCTGGCGCAACGTACGTCGTTGCGACGATGGAAATGTTGGTTGTCCACAACCGGCACAAGGGACGAACGACAACAAGTAGGGATAAAGGAATCGAGGGACTGCGCTATCAGTTATTCTCAGCCAAACAACTGGATATGCTTGACGAACTGCTCTTCCGGCAGAATCGAACAAACTCATTGGGTCAGGGCTAGGTCTCGTTGGTTGAATGGCTTGGAATATTTCTATATTGCCACGCAACGTTAGTTCGGCATTTCGGATTCGCAGGTTCGCCGGAATGTAGCGAAGCCGATTGTTACTGAGCTTCATCACAGTCATCTGATCGCCCCCGTAAAAACTCGGTGGGAGTGTCTCAAGAAGATTATACGATAAGTCAAGCTTATAAAGTGTCGTCCGACACAACGAATATGGTATTTGAGTAATTTCATTATGCGATAGATTTATAACTCTAATCGTAGAGCCAAGAGTACCTGAAAAAATATCGTATACTTTTTTAATCTTGTTTCCTTGTAATGATAATGTTACTAGCCTCATTGTGGCCAATGCTTTTGGCACTTCTTCAAGTAAATTGTTTTCAACCGCAAGGTCGGTGAGATTCGAAAGGTCTGCAATTTTGTTCTGCAAACGACTCAATTTTATGTTTTCAATACGAAGACTAATAAGATCTTGTGGAAAACCTCTGAGGGGATACTCGCTCCTGTTTGTGATAACCATCCTTGTAATTTTGGGTTGAACTTTTGTTGGAGGTTGGGCAGTAAACCTCTTAGGTACTTCCAGCCCGTACTGGACCGCATGGAGTACTTTAACGAAGTTTTCCAACAACGCAACGTTTGCCCTCTTGATAAGGATATCGTGTTCAGGTTCCTTAAGAGATATCGTAAGTTTTCCCTCACGCACACAACTGGTGTAGACCTTGATAATGTTCGCTTTCAAATTCCTACAATGAAACACAGAAAAATGAAAATAAAACCAACACTATGATAAAAGCGAATAAAAAATACGATTTAGGGTTTCAAAAACATATTTCCGATCTGCTCGAGAATTCTTACAGATATAAAATGTGGATTCAATACGGATCACAACTCAATTATCTCAGGTTATGTAGAAGCGGGCAACAAAGGAAAAAATGTTAGTAAATACGGATAACTACTAGAGAAGTTTGAACTTTTTCGAACATCACTTCAGAGTGACAAAAATACTGTAGAAGTAGAACGTAATTATACAACAAAACACGCTACCTGTACTTGTGACCAGATTCCTTTTGCCTTGTTGTGACAGTAAGAACGTACTCTGATCTGTTGCGTAGGTCTGGGGTGATCGTGATTACCGCTTGACCCAATCGTCTATTGCCACTACTTTTTCGATAAGATAGTTGAGCCTCACAGGACAGTCGCATAGCCAATGAACTGAAATTATTATAGTAAAAGTAAATTCAGCCTCATTCTGAAAACTGCAAACTTTATGCTATAAGAATATAATGAAGAAAACAACAAGTGAGTAGATTTATTAGCTTACAACTGGGGCTTCTTACTAGTAGTATCCGATCCAATGTAATGGTCTTCTTGGGACAGATAAGGGAGCCACGTTCGCTTCGAGTGCAACTTTTTGTCGACGTCCTAATCTGTCAAACAGGCATACGTATCAATCGCGCGTTGAAAATAAATTTTGAATTAGTATTATAAACCAGATAAAAACAGTTAACACCACAGTTGAAGGTACTCTATATTAATGAACGAATGAATAAGTGAACGATGCGCTTTCGATTATCGCAACCAGTATTATTTGACATTAGATTGCAAAATGTACAGGTAGGCAACAGCAGTTATAGAACTCGCTTTCGACATTTTCTTCATTATGGAATCTAGTTCATATATATATGTATATATATATATACATATATATATTTTAGTATAAAGCGTAACGAACATTAATATATTATTTCAGGAATACGCTCTTTTATACACTGCAACATTTCGCTACATTTTTTTAGTATTAGACATACAGTTGTATTTTTTTAATTCTGAGATTGCTTACTTGAGTATCCTAAGTTGGGCTTTTAACAAACGAGTTGTAGTACCCTAAACAGAATCAGAAAATTCGAGCGGATTATAAGTGTGAGTTTCATCTTACAACTACAGTGGTGGAGACAGCTCGCCGTATAAACCTTATGCCCGGCAGCTTCTGCTACTAGAAAAGCTAAGAGCCGTTTGTTAAAAATATTCCGGAAATCAAGTTTTGAACTTATTGAGTCTAGTCAAAGACATTCTGTGAAAGTGAATAACAAAGAGTTGTGAGCTATGCTGGAAGTTGATCCCATCACAAAGTGCGCAGGTATTAGCACTCAAATCTGGTGTACGCAAAAATGTCACACTTCATTTCCAATCAGTGGGGGAAATAAATTCAATAAATGTGTGCCGCATGATATAAACGTAGGCCAAAAGCAAGAGACTTTGCTCTCACGTTACAACTGTGACTAATCATTGCACCGAATCATGACTTGTAATAAAAAATGAATCCATTACAATAATCGCAGATAGTCACATTAGCGTACGTATAATTGAATCAACGGAAAACCATCTTAGGGCAAATAATCAGCTATAATAGCTTATGATGTCTGCTTAATAGTTTAATTCAGATGTTTTCCACAACCGCTTCATTGGTCTTGACTCGCCGATTGTGGGTGAAATGTACTGTCAACAATCAGAGGAGATGATGAACACATTAAGCAACAAGATTAGAAAGAAAGGTAAAGCACTCCTATTGCATAGAAACACTCGACATCGCACGTAAGGGTCATGAAGGTAAAAATGCAAAAGTTACAATTGGAGACTCTCTGTCATTCGCCATATTTACCAAACATCGCTCTTATAGAATACAATTTTTTTTAAAATCTCGGCCACTTACTAACATGAATTGATAGAAACCTCAACTCCCAGACTCTCATCGTAGCGCAAGAGATAATTTACCATCCAAATGGCAGAAGCTTGACTGCGAGGTTTGATCCAAAGTCAAACTAAGTTTGTGAAAACAGTTTGAAAAATTGGAGTCTACTATATCGCATCTTAAAATGTTTATTCCTGACCATAGAAGAAACAGTCTCATAATTTTTACGATTTTAAGAACTATCTCAAATTCCCTTTGCATGTGTCAAAGTACACAGCCTAGTCATTAATAAGCGGCTTTAAGTAGATCTTTTTGAATAAGTCAATAGCAAAGTTAGCAACTAGTTTAGTAACTGTATTGCAATACACTGTATACCTAGAATGTATTAAACTAAAAACAAAAAAAACTTTTTTATTCGGTTAAGTTGGGGTCACAGCAAATTAAATGTCCGACATATGTGCCACGTAAATGTAAAAAGAGCAAATATAAGTTGAACAAAGGTGCTCTTTAAACTTACAGTGGTTATCCAGAACAGTCTGGGTTTGGTTGATGTTTCCTGAATACCAAGCGAGCCTTCGACATTTTTTCAAAACTCACACCCGGATCCAGGAATGCCAATGCATTTCACACAGAATTGTCGGTAATTAGATATTCCATATTTTTTATAGAATGCATACTTACGTTAATAGATATAATTTGATCGATGTATAGTTTTATCCTTTCGCTTGTTCACAGACGTTTCTTCAAGCATTACAGAGCAACAAAAAAAAAGCATTTATGCTACTGAGGTAGCGGAAATACTGAACATGTGTTCTGCTATGTCGCGAAACGAAAAAACACGATAGAATGCTTTGTAGGGTTGTAATAGCAGATTTCAGCATCCAGACAAGTAATTCCAATGCAAGAATAACTAGTCTTTAGAAGGAATCGGGAGAAGTTACACAATATTTTCGCTTGAGTTTTCACAGTAAACAAATTTGAAGCAGGCCCAGCGTCGGCTGTTGCCACTGTTACAGTCAGTTTTATATTCGCGCGCAGCAAGAAACATATTATGAAGCAGACCTCCGTCGCGCTATCTGATTTGGCGCCAACTTCGATACGGCCACCCAAACTGGGAGGGACGTAAACGTACACAAACATTTGACTGACTTTTTTTGAGTCTGGAGTAATAATAGTTATTAAAGAAAGCTAGATAATCCAGCAAAGACCCCTTTGACAGTTTCTGAATAAATATCGACATGGGATTTTGACAGTAAGTCAAAAAGGAGGATAGTTGAAAGTCAACTTGAAAAGTTTTAATTAGCTTCTCCTCGAGTAAATGAATCTGCCACAAGTATGAACCAGGATGACGACTCCTAAATGAGAATTGATTACGGAAACAGGGCCTTTCTACGTGGAGAGTTCTAATTTTAAAATAAATTTGTCTTAAACTACCGGCAACACAGCATTTTTGAATTTTAGAGCGTACGGTCTGCCCCTTGCACTAATAAAAACGCATCTCTAGACGCCTCTCTCTCAGACAATTCACGGACAACAATTTTTACATCCTCCTTAGAAAAACGCACGCTTTTTTATCCCATCTTAAAGATTATGGCTGATAACGTCGAAATAATTGATCCAGTTTCAAACGGAGCAGTGCAAAACGCTAACATAATTTTAGTGGTGATCTTGGTGCAAGATGGAAGAACGCTTTGACCTTATGTCGAAAACTCTTTTTTTTCAAAACAAGCTACGGACCCACTTTGTGTTATAAATACGATAAACGTTTTAATAAATCAACCTTTATAAGACCTACTAGGAAGTGGAGTAATTAAGAGTGCGCCTAAGACATCGCGTTACATCCATCACGCTGCACTACAAAATAAGTTTAAACCAAGGAAAATCATCATAAATACTAAGAAAGTTTTCCACACAACATTTCATATGCGAAACACTTTTGAATTTCATGAATGAAACTATGTGAGCACTAGGCGGCTGCTGAAAAGTATTTGGTGGTAAGATTTAGGTAGTTCGTACGCAACGATAGAAAAAAAGATACTGTAATACGGTGTATTTGTAATTCCGAGCGCTAAGCGCTAACTCTAGAAGGGGGATGTTCGCTACCCACAAATGGCAGTTTCAGAGACATAAAACTGACTTTGTTTTCTCATTGTTTGTACATATTAATATGGCAAAAAGCATCAAGTGCATCGAATCCAGGCTAATCTCAATGAAATTGGGCTCTAAAAACGCAATTCGTTTAGGCATTGTATTACATTGCGGAAACAATAGCTGTTGAATAAACCTAACAGAAGTTTTTCTATAATACCACAAAATATTTGCCTGAAACTTCATTTAAGCTATATTTAGAATATACCTGCCAGAAACATGTTCTTGTACTTGGACCCACAATAAAAGAACTGACTAATAAATATGTCTAAATCAACGCTTATTCGGTCTCACTTTATAATTAACGACTTAGCTCTTTTTCAACCAAGCTGGGCGTAAAAAATGAAATCGCTCACGATATCTTTATTGTATACTAGTAATACACTGTAACAGTTACAATACTAGAAAAAAAATTAAGAAAGTTTTGCATTGAAATAGTGGAAATCATCTCAACGGTTTTCGAAATAATGGTCGACAACAATAGGAATACAGATTATAATAAATGTTGTCGCCTCTGCTAGACTAGATAACTGAAAACAAAGGTATTATTCCGACAACAACAGGGAGTTCAATAGCTTAGCCCAGTATAAAAGGAAGCCTTGTAAACTCGGGGATTGCCGAAATTAAAGCTATAATTTAACTATTTGAATCTTGATAAAACCTAACGGTATTTCCTCAACAACGTGTTTGCGTTTTTACTGAAAAACCCACTTATATATATTTATTGCATAGAATCTAAAATAGTTAGGCGGCGATATTAAGGCACCTTCTATAATTAGTATGTTTCTCAGAGTGAGCAGATTGTTTCAGCCAGAATTAAAGTATCAGTATCATTATTTAGACTCCATGAAATTCGACAGTACTACGTCGATTTAATACAACATTATTCAACAATGTTATACTGATAAACACCGTTAAGGGTAGTTATTTGATTTACACGAAAAATCCACTGTAATAACCGACTTTGCTACAATATTCATTCGAGTAATATTGTAATAATCATATGTGTAAAGAACGTTTACACAAATTGAAATCCAATTCACTATTTTTCCTTAGAATATTTCATAAACGCGTTGAATCGAAATATTATGCTGCATTTATATTCCACATAATTAATCGTCTCAGACCTATGGAATGACCTAGTTGATCAGTTTGGAAGGTAAAGATTTTGAAACACCGCATAGTCTCTAGGATAGGAGAATTCTTGTTTTCTTCGCCGACATTTAATAACCTAGTTGTTTGCATTTTTTTCCTCTCTGTTGGTCACTATAATTTTCCATTACCTGACGCAACGATTATGTACGCAAGGTGCCGATAAAGACATTCACAGCTACGCTAAAACAACAATTTGCGTCCAATTTATTTTTTTTCTCAGTATTCCAAATTGCCATTCACCTAAATATTGTTTGTCTCACACTGCTTTTATCTGCCTACCGCCAACTTTTCGCTTGTCTGGCCTTTGACCACTTTTACTATGTCAGTAATGCTAAACGATAAGAATGATAATAATAATACTAATAATAAAAATAATAATATAATTAATTTATCTTAATTCAATTATTGTACATAACATTATTCCCTATACGTTTCTAAGCCGTTTGCTAACGACACAGCGGTTCGTATCTATTTTCTTTTGTTTTTGCCTTGCACACAAAGCATTACAGACCAACATCATATCAGTATTAAGAGTGGCCGCCGCTTAAATCTTCCATCATTTCTCATGGTGATGAGTAGTTTTATTTGGAGTTCTAAGCACATTCCTTTTAAATTCTTCACCATACCCGTTCTCCCCATTTATAAGTCTGTCGCCATCTTAAAATACTTCAAGTTCGCGCAGTAATTACGTGGGGGCAGTTTCCAACGTTTTTCTACACTAATTACAGCGCGGGACAAGTACGTCGCATACTATTACTTGCTCACATGTTCGCCGTTCTACATGATAATGATGAAACAATAATAATTACAAATTCATCACTAGAATATGTACCACTCCACATTCAATGAAAATCTACAACTGTGCCCCTTCACCCGTCCATATACTATGACTCTTTAGGTCATCTTCGTCCTCGGTCTTCGCTCGTTCACTTTTGTCGCCTGTAGACAATAACTTGTCGTTATACTTGACGCCTCTGTGAAATAATTTAGCGCTTTATCTGTAAGTGTCATATATCTCATCATCTCGGCCATCAAATGGATTCATTCCCATTTGATGGCCTACATACTTGCATGAAGAGCATAAAATAACTTAAAATATTGTGACTGTTCCATACGTAAACCTCACTTATCAGTATTGTTTTGAATGTTCATATCCTTAATGCTTGCTCGCGTTACTTTTCGGTTTTTTGCCCATCAGCTACAAGCCAGCACCAACTCCAATGTACAGAAGCATCTACGGTAGCGCATCTATAGAAATCTCTCGTATCTTATTATCAGCATCACTACATAACTTTTATCTGAGTGTCTTTTTTGTCGCACTCTGTTCATTAATATCTAGAATATAGTAGAGTACCAGGCCAGCAACTTAAGTAGATCCCCATTACTTCAGTCTAATACACCATTTCCCTAAGATGGATTTAGCTGATACTAACTAAGAAAGCGGCTGGGAAGCGGGTGTCATATCGGTCGCTTCTTTCGAAATATTATCCGTTTTCAACGGTAACAGCCGTTGATATTTGTCATTCGTCACTTGTTCGATGCTTTGCGCTTTCAATTTTTTGCTGTCCCTTCTGTTAAATTGGTTTATTTCGTTTTACATAGCCCGCTCATTTTGTGACTTGTGGATATTAAAACCGGCGCCTTCACCACAATTACCATCATTACCATCCTTTAAGCGGAAAAAACCACCACTCTGATTGTTATATTTCTTTATATTAGTCAATACTCAATACTCATCATCGCTTTCTTGTTCGGTCGGATCTTGTAAATTTGTCTCTTTATTTTGTCTCTTGCCGCTAGCTCTTACTTCACTACTTTCATTTCCGCCTTCGGAGCTGCATGTAGCGCTGTGCTCAGTCGCAGCCTTTTGTTCCTGTTGTATTCCTTGCGGCGGAGGCAGCTGTTGTTGCTGCTTTTGCAGACCCTGCTTATTCTCTACAGTCTCAGTGTTTCCACCCCTAGCATCGTTGTAATTGGCCACAGACTGTGATTGCTGCGCGATTTGCTGTTGCTGCTGTACACGTGAGTCCCGGAATGCATCGAAATCAGCCCACATATCGTCTTGTTGACCTTCATTACCATCTTGTTGTGGTCCTCCGATTTCACCAAGAGAGGCCTTGAATGAACCAAAATCTGCCCAATCGTCAACTGCCGTGGCTTGATCGGCAGACGATCCCGGCGCATCGTCCCCACCGGATGTTTCTGCTAGATTCCAAGGGTTGAAACCGTAGTCCATTCTATTCCAAGGATCAAAATGAATTACACCACCCCCTCCGCCGCAAACGGCACCAGGTGCATCTTCCATATCATCCTCATCAGATGAGTGGTCATCCATAGGCGGTGAAGCAACTTTACTTATACCTGGAATGTCAACATCCGTGAACTCGTCGTCTTGAAATCCAAACTGATCGAAGAAATTTGCCGTAACCTGAAAAGCGAACCAAAGTTAGTTAACATGTGAATTTAAAAAATAATCGAAGAATCTCTGTAGCGTATAAGGGAACACATAAAACTACTCAACCGGTCAAAATCCTTACTTAACAAACGGAGCGCGCTTAGTATTAAGGTAAAGCTAAAACAACGCTACTGAATGCCTTTGCTTTTTACCTATTTTATGGTAAAAGCTCTATGTGTCATACAAGTAATATTATAAAATATATAGGTATAGTGGCGTAAAGAACCCAGCACCCCCAAAACAACTTGTATTAGGAATACTGCCATAGATTGACAGTATGGATTCAATTCCTACTCTTGTCCTCTCGACCTTAAAAAAAGCCCGACTATTTTCAAAACCGATCAAACTTGTTGAACGGCTTCGGAAAACTTACAATATAGAAGATGCGTGTTACAAAAAAAAAGGTGTACTAGACCACAATCTAAGGCTTGACTCTGTGGTAACATGGAAAAACAGAAAAACAGAGGCATACGATTCCGAGCTAAGCGGCTCAAAATGTTTATTAAATGTGTGCGTGCTGCTGTGGAATCGTTTCGGTTTTAAAACCAATGTTCCCGGAACATCATAAGCCTCACACTTCATATCCTCCCGCGAGATAAAGCTGAAGTGATTACAAAATTGTGTGCACTGAACAAGTCATTACCATTTTCTACATATTTGACATGAAAGAACCACGTGCAATGCAAATAGAAATCGGAATTTATGTGAAGCAACAGACGTATCTTAAGCAGCCTTTTATAGGCTTGAAGTTGTCACCCCAAAGGCATTGTGCCTGTTAGGAACAACAGCCCAGAGAATGACGGTATGTACTTTGAACGCAGGTGCTAAATATGATGCACGTATAGAAAATTTCTGGGTGGCGCAACTTTTTTGCAAAACTGATACACATTTTGATAATAGCAGCTATTTTGGAAATTAAAAATGGGTTATCTGTAGGGTGTCTCAAAAAGATTCAAGAAAACTCACACCCATAGACAACTACAGTATGTTTCATTAATATCTATATGCAAGTTGTTAAACAAGAGCTTTTTGTTTTCTTTTTTGAAGTTTCTAGGGGATACATGAAAGCCGATGAAAGCTGAATTTTGCTTAATTAAGAAGCTATACCTAAATAGTGTTTACCTCTAAAGCGTCAACAACTCAATCCGAATAAATCTGCGCTAACTAAAGTTCCTCTCTTGCTCACTAGAAATACCGGCACTCATATGTCTTTCAAGCAACATGCGTAATATACCACAATGTTGAATGATACCATTTCAACAACAACACTAACAAGCAGGATTTCTGCAGTAAAGAGCGAAAGAAAAAGACAATCAATATTTCTCCTCGTGTTCGATTACTCCAGACTGCTCAATATCGAGCCTTTACCCTGACAGGTCTTTGAAACCATGCTGCACAATTGTGCCGATATATAAACTAGAACGAGCAGCTAGAAGTCCTGTGATGATATCCTTGAATTGCTCGGTTTGTTACCCACGAGAATATATAAGCTCATCATAACGCATAGCTGAAGAAAAAACGTAAGCGACATGTTCAGTAGTCTTAATAAGGTAAATGTTACAGCAGCCTTCCCTAAAGAATTACAAGCACCTTTATCTACGAGGCGATATGAGTGTTCCTAACTTTATAGAGATGTTTCTCTCTCTTCAAAAGACAACACCATTTTTTTCAAAATGATGTTTAGTTTGTATTAACTTCCTATAAATGTGAACAGGGAGGCTATACCATTTCCCACGATGAAAGTCCACCTTAGAGCCTAATTGACGCAAAGAAGTCTGACTTTTTGTCTTTTAAGAGGTGAACGTGCGAATTCCGTTCTTGATAGCAGGCCTTACTTCAAGGTATTTGCCATAGTCGTGTGGGACTAGTGCAAGCGTTTTCTATCTTGCACTTACTAAATTCACATTTCTTTCTAACCATGGTCCTGTGTCAATACTAGTTTAAATTTAACTACTTTGACTGACGCAAAACGATTAACTAGCATTAAAATCAAATCAGGGTAATTATCAGATAGAAATCAACGGCATTAAAAACATCAAAGCGATGTTTGTGCTCCTCCCCTTCTATCGCTAGCGCTTAACACATTATTTAAGCTTGAAATATTATATTTGTATCTTTGAATAATCTATGGTATCCTCTTTAGTGTATAAGTATTGTGACCCGCGAAGCACGTTTTCAGGTTCCAAAGGCACTGCTTACTCCTGTGATTCCCGTTTATGGAATCCCAAAATTGATATTGAAATCAGTTTCAAGAAACCTTGATAATGTACGTTCTTGGAATTAGTGTATAAGACATCAACATAGAAATGATTTCTGGTCAGAAAATCGGAAAAGGCACACTTATACAAATCATGATACTAAATAATTTGCTACAGCCCCATGCTTTCTTGCAACGAAGAATCGTCTGTGCTGAAGAAATCCTACCTGATTCAACTGATAGTCGTTAAAAGACTGCTGAGCAGAAGTGATGGCGTCTGGAGTAGGCACTCCCATGTCTCGGAGTTCTGCTGGATCCTCACCCTCAGAACACGACGCAGTTGTGTTCAATGGCTCGACTGCTTTTGAATAAACTTTATTGACAGCCTGCAAGTTTTCTTTAAACGCTGTCCAGCGTTCCTTAAGTTCTGGACTGAGTCCCTCCATGAGTTCGGTATAAACTTCGCGGAATGCGTTCTCCGCCATTGTTTCAACGTAGTTGGCCATTAGTCTTAAATGACCATTGTAGCCAAGCTGCTCTTTAGGTTTGATAGTGTAACAATCAACGATTTTCTCAAGCAGAGCTGACTCGCCGAAGAGTTGGTCGAACAAAACGTGTTTCTGCAGTGCTGGAGTATCCTCCGTTTCATTAGCATGCTCTGTTTCTGGAATGGTTTCAGTGATTGGATCATCCTTTCCTCCATCGGAAGCTTTTTGTGTTTTGGGAGGCGTGCAGATAGCCTGCACAATAGCGTCCACTTGGTTATGTAATTGGCTGCACAGTGGATAGCTAAAGAACAGATCGATTATTGACGGTAGCACGTGGAGATCCCGCAACACTGTCAAGCTGGGCTCGTCGCTGCACGACACTATTGATGCAATTAATTTGACGATTTCTAGTCGGACAAAACCGAACGTTTCTCTCTTCTCCAATGACAGATGCTCGACCAGCGAGTTCAAACGGGGAGACAGAGCCTTTAAACACTTTTGGATAGATTCTTTGGCGCGCAGTTGGTCTAGTTCGCCGAGCGTGGGCGACGACTCAGGTGGTGTTGCGTAAACGCTAAGAAAACACTGAGGGTCGACGCCAATATCTTGGAAGCTGGGCGTAGTTTTCCTGTATTGCAGGAGTGATAAAAGGACAAAGTTACTTTCGTACAGGGTCCAGGGAGAGAGTTCTTCTTTTTTTTCGGGTAAAGCGTGTCGCAAGATTTCGCTTATCGTTTCCGTCTCCTCAACAGCTGCCAAAAGGGGATCGTTAGGACATTTATCTTGTAGGACCATTTGCTGTTCGCGGCCAACCTTGACGATCTTGCAAAGGCACTTGGTCGAGTTTGTGACAACCTGCTCGGAGTTCTCGGGGCTCAGCAGAGCAATCAGTTTCGATACGAGCTGCCCTCTAGCCAACCACTCAATGACCTGAGGACGTAACTCGGGATTATCAGTACATTCTACCAGTCGATTAATAAGATCCTTAATAGCAGAGTTATTTATATGATTCAGTAAGATGTCTACAAAAGCTGAGCTACCTGGCTGGTTTTTATCTTCTGTATTCTTTTTCTGAGTATTCACTTCTCCACAAGCTTCCTGTCCATTTGCCACAGGTTTTTCATCATCTGCTTTTTCAGTATTGTCACCCTCGGCGCTCGCCTCCTCTGACTTTATATCCGTGTTGGCAGCAGATACAGAACTTGAAACACTACTCACGTTGATTGCAGAATCTCCAACCGGAGGGTCGGTCCGATCCGGATCATAGTACTGGATGAAGTCCAGAAACTTCTCAGTTCGTTTTGTTGCGAGTAAAATGAGTAATTTACATACAAATGATGCTGTGAGGTCATTGAGGGCGTCTTCTTGTCGGAATACACCACAAACGCGCGTCAGTAGATGCGGCGTTTCAATCAATGCATCGTTAATTGCCGGCACGTCAAACGTCAGAACCTCACAGGCCGTGTTAGCCAGTTTGTACTGTTGGGTGTATTCCAATGACGGGTCAGGACCACTGATAATAAGGCCCACAAGCTCATCGAGAATATCCGGACGACAAATGAATTTTATAAGCTTTGAAGTATGGCTACGCACCTCTTGAAAAATATCGCTTTCATTGAGAATTTCACACAGTGTGACGTCTGGTCGATCGAGCAACGTGTCAATGTGTGACTGACTGATGATGTTTTGCTTCCAGAAGGCCATCTTCGGGGCCTGGTGTAACGGCGGATGCCCGCTATTCGCCCATAGAACAAGTGTAGTGAAACGTCACTGTGGTGAATCTTTATCTAGCGACACTGTGGGCTAATCTAAAGCCGCCGCTTCTCCTTCGAAGAGAGGTCCTTCTCGTATTAGTAACATTCACATACACACACATTCACACACAGCATAGCAGCATTATATTCTTAATGGTCACAGCGCTATAAACGGGCGACTAATTCTCTCAGTCTAACCGAAACCAAAACACAGCGTTCCGTCAAATAGCCTTTAATAATCGGAAATATCCTCGAGAGTGGAGTTATGAATCAACAGTCGCAGCTCGCCCAAAATGGCGGCCCTGTGAAAACTGTGTTTGTTCGCTGTCGCCGATTGGATATATTGACTGTTTTGCCGTTCTTAGGTTAGTATGCAATACAACAATTATATACTCATCGTTTTGTGAGCTGGCCTCAACGATAGGGGCCACGGCGCAGAACTAAATGTATAACTCCGGCTGCTGCCTATAGCACAGCTATGTGTCCAGATAAAATTTCTAGTGATGATGCTTTAGAGAACATAGATATGTATTTCGTTACGAACGCTCAGATTACATATAAAGGTGTCTAATTTGTGTCCAATACCAATTTTCTACAATCGCTTCCTGCAGGTTTATCTCGCTCACTCCCAACTGGGATCAATTCGCGATTTCATAAGTGTATCGTTATTATTTGTATGCGTCGATTCATTTTATTTTATGGCGCGCGCAAATTAGTTACTAAAATGATTACTTGTTTAGTAATTATTTACTATTTTTAAATAACATTATTTTTTTGCAAGGCTTTATTATTGCAATAAAATTTCAAGTCAGCTATACCACAGCCACACTATTCACAGAATGGTTCTCCAGGATGTAATACTTTTCGTAGGTTTATCACTCAATGGTGCACTGCTTCTAGAGTGCTGATTGATTTAACGATATTGACGATATTACATAAGAAAATAATTACGGGTGACTTATGGTGTCACGTCAAATCGATGCGCAATTTTGGTGTTTTCGAGGAATACGATCTAATCATAATTATAATGAAACGCTGCGAATTTCTTATACAGATATAACGTATTTACTTTTCATGCGCTTTCGCTGGGTATTGTTATTCAAATGGATACCAAGTATTGCCAATATATAATTATTTATGAAGATCAATTGATACATTCATTAAAAAAATAGATCAGCATTGTGCTTAGAACCACAAGGTATATTTTATTATTTTGAGAATAAACTGTAGCCTTTTTCTTGACAGCAGGAACGCCATGTCTATGTTCCGAAAGCCAAACCGCAAAGTCCGCCAAAGGTTGGCTCACTCTGACAGCGAGGATGAAGAGTCTCATGATTGCCTTTTAAAGACCCGTGAGGAACGTAAAAAGGAAAAGGACAAAGATGATCGAGCCAGTAATACCAAGACACTACTCAGGTAAATGGAAGCTAAATTTATCTTCAATTTCTTTTTTGAACTTCCCGCGTTCCAAAAATTTTAGGATATATCAAAATAACTGCTTTTTGTTTAACTGAAGCTTTGGAGTCGGCGATGAAGAGGCTGAAGGCGGAGAAGTTTTCAAGGTAAAAAAGTCCAGCTACTCACGGCGAATCGCAAAGGAATTAGAAAAGGAGCGTAAAGAACGTAAACGGAAAGATGACAGCAAAAACAATGAACAAGATCAGAATCCATTAGATGGACAGCTGTCAGCGATGGTTCAGAGTTCTGACGCTGACGGACGCGATGAAGGCTCGGGAACCCCGGCCGGAAGCATGATTGTCAGGGAGATCCCGCTTTCAACCAGTGACATCGACATACGTGTTAAGGTGAGTCAAACGCTTCCGCGATAACAATGTTGAACAATCAAAAAATCGAGCTACACATTTATTTCCGTCATGTTTTAAATGAATTTAAACCAGACTTGTTTGAGCTCATGCTTTTTATCTTATTGTACCTGATCTTTTCTTTCTCAGAATACTGATTTTAAGGTGTTAAACTCAGAAGAACTGGAAAGCGTCAAAGCAGAAATGAAAACTGATATTTATGAACGCGATGCAGAGAGCGGAGGAAGCGATGGAGAATCTTTTAATGGCCGGCAACGTACTGGAACGGGACCGCGCCCTAACCGGGATCGTGTATCAAAGGTTTTTGAACGAGGGGCTATACCGGATGCGGCCACAATTTTTGCTCTTAAGAAACAACGTCAACAAGCGGCAGCAGGTCGACGAGGCGCGGACGAATTCATACCGTTAAAGGAGCACAACAATTCAAATGATAATTTCAGTCAAAATAACAATAATCCCTTATCGGAAGGTAGACGTCTTCGCGACGGCAGGTTCGTAAATAGGTTTCAATGCATATCCTATGCATTCAATAGAGACGTTAAAAAAGCATTTTAAGTTTTATTTTGTGTTCTATTCCGTGCAAAAATCTAGTCATTGCAGGATGTTATTAAAGCTCAAATTATATCTATCTCGGTAACGCCTATCGGCATTGGGGAAATCAGTTACAATGACGTAATTCTTGCAAATGCTATACCATACGCGAGTAATTAACTCGCTTACAAGGCAAATGTCACGTAAGCTGTCGCATATACTTCAGCGTTTACTCATGCTACTATCAGTTATATAGCTTAAAAGCATGTAATCAAATCACATTAGTAAGTATATAGCCGAATAGCTTACATATAGTTTATTGTGTTGGCCAGAAACGAACCATCCCTAAGTGCAGAAAAGAAACAACTTCAAATTTTCGTAACATAAACCTCGTCGTTGTTTTCGTTTGGGCGACCCTCCATTACAGCGAAGATGATGATGATGACAGTGTAGGTGAAGAGGGTCGAGTGAACTTCAGTGATATTCGCTCAGGAAAACGTGATGATATGATGAGACAGGCGCTAAGTGGATCTCGAGCGGGAGCAGCAGCTCCAGATGACAACAATCCTGACGAGACAGACCGATGGGAAAAAGAGCAAATACGAAAAGGCGTAGCCACCCTGGTATGTTTGGTGTAAAATACTAGTTATTACACCAATAGTCAGTAGGACTGTAAATTTTTCACGACTTCCGATACATACTATGCATCTTTATTATATTGTCCATATTACGACTTGGAGGTTTACTGTACCATTTGGTAGTGCTCTGATATTATATTGCTAGGCAAGTATTGCCTAAAGCATCTTGCTCTATGCATGATATCTATAAAAATACCATGGTGTTCTTATTTTTTTTTATGGCTGATGGTTGTTATGGTAGTCGAGCGCACAAGACTTTTCGCGTTCACCGTCCCCGAATCCGGAGGATAGAGATCGCGTAAGTGCACTACCTCCCGTCCACATCCCTACGGATAAATCAAATATGACCATCACTTCTATTGTGGATCGAGTACGAAATCGTTTGGAAACGGTGCAGGAGATTATGGAACGTTCTCAAAGGCAACGATCAAGTACAGATACTGAATTGACGGTTTGCGTTGAGACTATCCAGCGATTAGAAAAAGAGATGCCCCGCCTCGAGAAGGCGTTCCGTTTCTATCAGGAGATGAGAACTTACTCGATGGACCTTATCGAGTGTTTTGATTCGAAAATGCCTATTATAAACGCGCTTGAAGGCCGTCTATTGAGTGCGTTAGCCCAACGGGCGGAAAAAAGGATGGACAGAAGGCGACAAGATGTTAAAGATCAAGCGGAAGAGGTCCGGCCAGGAGCAATTAGTAAGAATCTATATATATATATATATATATATGTGTATATTTATGAGAATTCTGCAGTAAATAGACTTAAAATAGAGTTAGTATTACTAGTTCTCCTTGGCCAATTATTTCTTGGCTTATTGTATATTTTCCTATATCTGTGTCGCTCAGGAAGTTTTTTGTTATTAAAAAGACGGGCGTACGCTATGTAGCCAAATCGTCCTCGGTTTTACTGAGAAAAAGAAATCATCTTTGCTTAATATTATGCCTTTTACTTTTCATGTTAACGTTAATACATAAACGAATTTTCGACGAGTTTCAGGCAAATCAAATTTGTGCTTTTTTCCAGGCACATCTTTCGGTGGCCTGGCAAACGGACAGTTAGATTCAAACCCTTTTAGAATTCTCATTGGTATGCTTGCAATTACACACCTAACAACACGATATATTAAAATAAATTACCCTTTTCTAGTTGACTCAGCAGCTAAGAAGCGTGCTAGAGAGCGGGAAGGTCGGCGGGTGCGCCGGAAAACTGCGCGGCAAACCAGTGGTGTCGCCAAACACAATGAGGGAGTGTCGTCAGATGATGAAGAAGCTGAAACAGAACGACGACAACTGGCCTCACACCGCGAGCAGGTTCTTGCTGATGGTTCGCACGTGTTTGATGATGTTCACGATGATTTCAGTCAGTTAAAGATCGTGTTAAACCAATTCGAAAACTGGAAACTATATTTCAACGAATCGTACCAGGAGGCTTACATTCCAATTTGTGTGCTCAAGTTAGTTATACCGTTTGTCCGATTGGAGATGTTAGCATGGAACCCGCTAGAAAACCCAGAAGCGATTGAGAAGTATGAATGGTACAAGGAACTGCTGTTTTACGGACAGAAAGTTGAAGATAAAGACGAAAGTGATTTTAGTATCATTCCTAAGGTGGTAGAACGAGCGGTTTTACCAAAGGTAAGTTTGTGTTTTGTAAAATGTAGAAATATCTAGTAGGGAACGACTATACATGTTGTTTCACGAAGACTACAAAAGCATCCGATCGCTGTATAAACATAAGATATACCTGTTTGAGAGTGCTAAAGACTTAGCTTAAAAAACGCTATTAATTATAGCTAGCTTTCATATATTAAATCCATAGATTCTACTTATATGAATGATTAGCTTCGTTCCATCATTTTATAACTGCGTGTGAGTATTGGTGTAGTTGTGTGCTTCTGGTTATATGGCACATGTAATATACAACTAAATCACCTACCCAAGTGATCTATTCTGTACTACTTGCAGTTGAGTCAGTATGTTGAACGAGTATGGGATCCCATGTCGGCAAGTGAAACAAGAAATCTTGTACGATGCATAAGGAAACTAGCAGATGACTACCCATTTGGACGAAAATCAAAACCTCTTGCTACGTTATTAGGCAAAGTCTACGTTAAACTACAAACCGCGCTTCAGGAAGACGTATTCATTCCAATGGCGACCAAGGAAGTCGTGGACAATCCTTTAAGCCCAGCAAGCCAATTTTTCCATCGACAGTTTTGGAATGCGGTGAAACTGCTGCAAAATATTCTGTCCTGGCACGGAATTATATCTGAGAAGCCTTTAAAAGAACTTGCTATTATGGGACTGCTCAATAGGTAAGTAGTGTATGTAGAGAATTCAGTCGTAACACAACTTTGTTAGAGGCAGAACAGCACCGATGGTCCGGAACCAATTTTAGCAGGAGGTCTGTTGCAGCAAACATGCGTCCATCTATTGTCTTCCATACTAGAAAAAACCTGTATCTTCTAAAACTAAAATATACATTCATATCGCGAAGGAGCAAAAGATTGTTTTTCAGAATATAACTGATAATTAACTTTTATCCAATGTCGTAGCGTTAGACGAATCCCTACCATAATTATCAACATATTCAGTCACTTACAATTGAAACTTTATAGCGTTGTTTTTCACGCTACCCACGTAAACATTGACGAGGTAGAAACAGGCTGTCATATACCAGAACCAGATAAACACAACAGGCGTAAATACCAGCGTGAAGACTTTATAACTAATACGAAGAATGCAAATGTGCCTTTTTGATGACCCTGATCTCTTGATGTGCGCTTTACCGCCTAATTTTGCCGGCTAAATGTTAGGTGTCCGGGCCAGCTAGAAACTTTTGAGAACAGTAAAGGGATGAATTTTTAGTTATGTCATTTGCACCTAGATTCTTTCAGGAACAGCAGAAGCAGCAGTACGCTGTCTCCGTTTTAGATTCTTAAATATTATTTGACAATAAGAAATTACGTATAAAGACGATTGCTAGTTTAGTAGAAAATGGCGGATAAACTAACTACGGATAAACTAGATTTGTAGCCAGTGTGCACGTTTCGAATTTCGTGTCCGGTGAAAAAGTGATCATGCTGATACATATTTCAAGATGGCACATTGAATAATTAAAACATTTATTCGTATTTTCTAAAAGCTGTGATGCGGTGGTGAATTACTGCGTCAAATAGCGTTTCCATATATCTTTCAGTAACACACACTGCATCTGGCATACTTACTTGCACAAGGGAATTAGTGCAGGGTACACTATCTGATCGAGCTTGTTAGCCTCCGTTGGAACAAATGCGTATGTTCGCTTAATGGTCCGGACTTAAATCCGCAGGACCGCTACACAAGTAAGGCGAGATTGACTGCGTCTCTTGGTACAACAAGATCAGTCATAATCGTTATTATAAAGGCACTTAAAAATGTAGATTGAAATGTTTAGATGGTGTTTTTAACCTCTAATTAAAGCTGCGCTTGAAGCGAATGGTAATTACATCGAATAAACACGTCCGTCAGACACATTCACGTTGAAAGATGCAGAAAAATGTATTCAAGAAAATTTACTTTTATTCGACGCCTCGTGTAGTATGCAACAGGGTCTGCTTTAATGATCGCTAAAGTTGCACCCTTTTTATTATTGAATAGTTCACAGACGTGGCATTTGCAATTATTTGCATAGTTCATTGAGCACTATTATTAATAGCGTTCCTAAGAAGAAGTTCAAAAAGTATCAAAGCAGTTCTAACATTCTTCTTACCTCATATATTTCTTTCTATTGCTTCGGCTCTTTTCAGATACCTTTTATTTGCGTTGCAGTGTACGTTACTGCATAAAGACGCAGCAGAAAGAGCAGAAACGGTAGGTTCAATGCTACCAACGGCCTGGCTGCGACTCGAAGCACCCGGAAAGCCTCCAGAGTTACAGATGTGGGCTCAATATTTGCAGGGACTCATTAGGCAACTTAGGAGCGACTATGCGCCTGAGTAAGTATTAACTGAATTAAGACATTTGAAGCCGTGTTACATATAACCTAATGCAAAAAATGTCCACTCGCTTTTCGATAGTTCTTTTCTTACCTAACTCCAATATTTGCTCAAAGAGATGCATTAAACCTTGAAATTTCTATTACTATTATAACTACATTGTTTTAAAATACCAAAAGATGGAAACAAATTGCGTATCTGAGTGCTAAGTATGAGTTGTGTAAGCAACCGGACATTTGAGAATAAGTTGTTAATATATATTGTAATGAAAACTTTTCCACTGGGAATATACGTAAGTTACACCGCATTAAATTTAATAAACGTAATGATGTCATTTTCAGCACAAAAATTCAGTCGATCACGAGACTTCACGACAGTTGTAGTAATGTGCCGTATAGTGATGTGATTCTAAAGAAGAAGTAGGTTATCATGTAATATACTTTGTGTTATCTTTGTATTATAGAAACAAGCGAATGTAAAAAATTTCGAAAAAATATATATATATATATTACTGAAATGTAATCCTGCCGTGTTTTCTATTTAGATATATAAGGTAATTCGGAAAATTTGATCTACGACTGTAATCATCGTATTGCAAATTTGATGAAGCGTATCGACTCTATGATTTTTTTGCTATGGTAAGAAAAGTTTGAGATGGTGTCAGATATAAAATGGAAATACATGCATTTTTATATGAGTCTATGGTGAACAATTTTCGGCAAATATTACACAGTATCGAGTCTTGTTGATTTCAATCACATGAGAAAGCGATTGTCAGAAGAAAGCCAGCAAGTCATACTTTTCAGCTTCGATATCTCGTTGCTATTGTTACAATACTGCATTGCAACCTCCTACACTTTCTAAATCATTCGTGCGCCAACCAGCAAAGTAACGCCATTGAAGGTACTGTGGCTTCAACACATCTACCCTTCACAATATCGATCTTCTAAACAGTTAATTTTATCATTGCCGTAATTCAACGAGGACATCAATTTTAAAATCTCAGTGATTTTGCCTCAATATGAGTGGGATCGTAAACCTAGTACTTCGATATAAAAATAGAAAAGAGCTGTTTTTCGACGCGAGATTTTCTCGAGCTCGACATTACTAGCAAAGACCAATACGATATCTACCAAGTAGTTCGCAGATTTAAAATTTTTGGTAACTTGCATTTATTTATTATTATGTATAAAATTCTTGGAGAATTAAGGTAAGTCCCAGAGAATAACACAGCTCTTTGTTTTAAAGATACTTAAGGGAAAATCAAGTATTAATGTAATACTAGAAAAATTTGTTCATCATGAGTTTACTTGTTCGTTTGTAATGAAAAAAAAAAAGGTGTCCTGGGCTATGAGATCATTCTGTTTGATGCTCCCCATATTCAATTCGTACGTTCTTTCGCATCACCATCTGCGACAAGGCCTTCGGTTTGTTCTCGGTGGGAAAGAAACTTTGTAGTTGAAACTAAAAAAGAGTAACGAGGTCTTTCAAGATGATTTTCTGTTTTAGGTGACTCTAATGATCAGTTGAATTGTTGAAATGCCACAAACTTTTTATTAAGTCTTTACTTTCGCTATAACATGCCGCAGATTCATTTTAGAATTATACGTACGGCCATTAACTAAAGGGACGTTTACTGGCACAAATGACGCATATATGTAAAGATGGCTAGCCGTCATGTACAAACGGCTGTGCCCATTGGAATGCTTTGTCCACCCTCATCTTAATGCGGGTGCATCAACAGTGTTTCTTGATTATAAACGTCTACTACTGCGCATGATGCCATCCAAGTGAACAAGGGCAAAGGCTTTGCTGGAAGAAGATTTTGGATTTTCACACAATATCTAATTTTACTATCTGTAGATATTGAGGAATATGATTATATCATCTTTTGATCGCTTGCCTCGCAGAAAAAGCATTAAACACAAAGTCATAAATGAGTTCAGTGTTTAATGCAAGACACCGTGCGGCAAAGGTTAACTGGTTTCAAAGCCTTACCAATACTGTCAGAAGGGTAAATTGGGTTTTATTGGGCATATCTATTATATAATGTGTTGATAGTATTACTTGTAAACAGCACATCTATTTTATATGCTAGTAGAAAGTTGCCAGTCTAAACGAATTCACTAAGACGTTTTCGCCGACAATTGCAGACGACGGTAAGCAGCCATGTAGACGACAGCGAACAGTTGACAATCCCAAAGCCTAGCAAAAGGGGTTCGTATGTGCCCAGGGTATCACGTACGTAACCTAAAAATTGAAAAACAAGACGACCTCAATATGGTAACGTGATTTCATCACTTAAAATTCCCTCCATTTTATTTATCCATAAAACAATAAAGATGTATACGAAGGTCTCCCGTAGTATTAAAACTACATATTTGCTAGATCTTCTATGATAATTTACTTTAACCTTTACAGCAAAGAAATGAATATGGCTGTTCTACATGCTAATATATTTTTGCTTCTTAGCTATTTGATATAAACTTTGCGCGATTTTAAACTGTGATATCATTGAAATTATGTTTATTGAGAAAATCAAATCAGAGGGCAGGCTAAATTGGTAGCATGGATTTTGTCACAATAAGTTAATTTACTACCTAAAGGCTGCACTTCATTGAAAACTTGTAAAATTATGAAGCTCATGTGCCTTGAGTTAACGCACAGTACAACGTAAATGTAGCGGATTTAAGTGGAGAAAAACTGGCAGTAAAAATGTCGAAGAATTAACCTTAAAACTGGTAGTCCCCAGCGTGCCTTTTATAATTACATTAAAAAAATTAATGAAAAACTTCGACTAAAGTTGCAAAAACATGTAAGCACACGTGATCCTGTATATCTAAGCTGCAAAATCATCGTCAACAGGACATTCACCGAACTCATTCTTTTGCTAATGAGTCACTCTGTGTATATCTCTCAGAAAGACCTAGCCAATCTGTGGCTTACGAAAGAAGAGACTTTCAGTTCAGTCCTATTGTTCCCGTGGTGGTGCAGTGGGTAACGTGTTTGCCTTCTCATCTTAGGGAAACGTAATGATATAGGTTGGAAACCGTAGATGCGCTTCACATTTTGCTAGGAGCCAGTTATATTGAATAATGCTTAATGGCAGTGCAGGACGTAAAACTCGGCGCATTTATTGAAATATAGGCTGACGTCTAGCTTAAACACGTTAGTTGTTTTGCTATAACGTCTTTATTATAAAGTATTATCCAATAATATAACGACTGACTTTCATGAAAATTTCCTAAAGGGATTGGTGGACAAGTGTGATAGAAATTCACGTATACGGTGGTGTTACTGTATGGCAATGCAAAGCCGTATCCAACTGCCAAAACTGCAGCCGGGATCAGTCTAATGCGACAACTTCGATTCTCGTACGCAAGTTCACGTACTTGTAGTTGTTTTTTTTACTTTAAGAAAACTACTCAGTGACCTGGATTCTATACGTGAACACTGAGAAGTTCACTGAGCTCTCTCTGTCTCTTTCTTTCTCTCTCCATATATATATATATACTTTTTTTTTTCTACCTGCATAGTTTAAAGATTAGAAATACTCAAAGGTACGCAGTTTCAAGTAGTACAGCCAAATATAACAATATACAAATTTTCTACAATTACTTACCTTGTTCTTGACTCCCATTTCATCAATCAACCTTTTAACTACATCCTGGAAATTGTTTTATTGTTTTTAAAGGCCAAAATGAAAATCAGACTTACCGATAAGTGCCGGCTGAACAACAATTGCAACTCCGGTAACAAAATTCATTAGGCCGAGGCTTAGAGCTAGAGAAGCATCTTCACATTCCTCCGTTACCATGACGGTTGCTAAAATATTCCGGCAGCCGCCGGTCAGGCCTACTAAAAATGAGGCGATTAAGAGAGCCCCGTACAAGTCGACATAGACAAGCATGAAGTAGGCCAGTCCTTGTATCAGAAATGTCGCAGACATTAGTAGACTTGGTGACACGATTTGTAGATCTACAAGTGAACCGGAAAGGATTCGCGACAGGAGGTCACCAATGGTAAACACGGTCAGAAGGAAAACGCCTTGAACAGGCTCAAGGTGCCGGTCTGCCGAATAATCCAAGAGGATCAGCAGAAAGACTGCTAGAGCAAAAATCGTTGCCGCTCTATTGAAACCCAGACAGAAGCAAATATAAAGTATCCCAGTTAGCTTAGGTTTGCAACCGCACAGCTTATCCCTGCGCCTTGATCAACCATTTTATTTAACTGTAGCTAGAGTTAGACACTGGAATTAGGGTACAAGTCGTGTTAAGAATATCCAGTGTGAGCTGGAATACCTTAAGGTAGTATACGTCCTCTATAGAGAAAGAAGTAGTTTTGTTTTAAGCTCAAGGCTGAACATTCGTACGATTTTATTCTGTGTCGAATTCAGCCAAGAATATATAAGATTTGGAAGTCGATGCGACATGATCTGCCATAGGCACGGCACAATATGCGCATCATACGGATAATTGTTTCCGACGGCCCTTCAGCCTGTCGTATTGAGTTTTAAAAAGTCCCAAGGCTTCGAAATGCTATTCTTGTTGAATACTATGAAAGTAGGATAAATTAGAGTAATATAGTAGAATAATACAGTTAGAATAAGCACCTGGAGATAGTAATGTGCAGAAAAGTGAAGGACATCACTCCAGGTTTACTCGAGGGGATCGTCGCAAAGGAACATGACGCGTGATGATTAAATGGTCGTAATAAACCTCGCCGCATTCGCTGCTGCTGTTGCACGAGAGGGGTTTTCTCTCGGAGCGAGTCGACGTCGACGAACGAGCCTGTGCGACTGTTCTGCAAAACAGGTGAAATAATTTGCGAACTTTGTGATTGGTGCCAGGGCCACTTCACTTTACGAGGGTCATAATAAGCGCATGCTAGGCTTGTACATGATTTCGGCGCCGATATCCGTTTTTTCAGTTTTGTAAGAGACTCGATCACAGTTTTAAGCGAAATCATACAAATTCAATGATGATAGGAGGTGTCAACTAAATAGCATGTGTTTAATGGTTGAGAACTAAATGGACAGAACATTCGCGTCTGTTCTGCGAATTACCACCTTCGCTTGGTTGTACATAAGGAAAACTAATATTCGCAAAGCTGTTAAATTAAATCATTAGGGCTTAATTTGAGTAACATGTAAAATAAATTCCTAGAGGTACCCGGCACGTTTACTAATTGCGGCGCGCTTTAGTCACGCAGATAGCTTCACAGGATACTAATACCCATTGCTTAGTTATTATAGCTTTTACTAGCAAAAATGGGACATTGAGTAAATCATCTTTTTCATATAATATCTGCAAGAACAGTAAGAACCCGGCTGAAAACCAAATTCCCTAAATATATTTTTTGAAACACGTAAGCCTAATCACTGTGTCTGCTAAGCGGCTTATCGTTTTTATGTTTTGTGTCAATTATGTGTTTGACCCGATGCATGGGACAAAGTACATTAAAAAACCTGTCGTTTCGAGTATGCAAAAAGGCGGAAGCGATAATGACAGTGTGACGCTTAAAAGGAAGAAGATCCCGCGACGCCAATGCGTCGACCAGTTCTCTCCTCTTCTCTCCCTCGAGCGTTCCTACTAATGAGTGCAACACAGACGTCGTTGGAAGGGTCGCACACGGACTGCCACAGTTTTTTCGACTAACCGCAAAATACTAACTGTTGACCTGATGCCTAACGCTCGTTGCGGACGCGTTGGACATTAGATGACAAAAAAGTAGCTGCCAATGCGGCGATTTCTACAGGCGGACGTCGGGGGCCATACCAAGTTTGATAAAGCAAAGGTCACCTTGCTTGACGGAATATCGAAGTGGGTTAGGTAACACACGGATATCGTGATCGCAAGCAAACAAGGATCGTCAATGTGGGATGAATACCTGCTGGCTTTTGTTAATCAGGATGCTGCCGACAAGATAGCTGTCGGTGCTCAGGCTCACGTCACTGAGCAGTTTTGGCGCAGACGAAGTAGCAAGTGTGTTCGAGGAGGGAGATTGAGAACTGCCATCCACAGGTGCGACTAGGGGCATCCGACTAACCACGATGCACCCACACAACATTCCAACGTTTAAACTACCTGCAACCATTAGAGGGGGTAAATGATAACATTAAATATATATATATATATATATATATATATATATATTGAGGAGGTCTCATTCAAGTAATAAAATGATTCAGCCTAAACATGAGTTTTATCTTTGCATCGCAACCACAGATCGCGGGTGTGCAAGTACACAGTGGTCATCATAAGTATGAAAAACATCGGATTTGAGAGTTTTTTTCTAACGATACAAAAGAAATGTAAACACCTTAAATCCAATGCGGACGCTTATCATGCTCATCAGAACGACAGTGCAGTAAGCCAATTATAACTAGTTAAATTATAGAAATTAACTCTTAAAGGTTCGCTCACCCATCACAAGAAGACAGATTCGGAAGCCCCACTCTTGGCGAACATATTCATACAGGACAGGCATAAGGAATCCGGATACAGCAGTGATTATGTACATCGCCGAAATAACGGTGCCACGATAACGTTGGAAATGTCGCATAAGAACGACAAATGGAATCACTTCGCTACAGGCACATCCCAAACCTAAATTTTTAGCATCATTTAATAATAATGTAAAACGACAGTTCTTTAATTCCGTTAGTAAATGGATAGCCCTTAGGTAATGAAAATATTCTACAAACATTCAAATTTAAATTCAGTCGGCTCAAGGCTATTTGTTCGTTTTAATGTCCCGCTATAGAGTCACTGAGGGTCTGTATAGTAAGCCAGCCATTGAAAATTGTATCAATAGACGCATTATGATCACAAAAAGTACCCCATTCGGTGTTGAAATGGTCGTTGCATGCATTTCTCCAAGCCACTGCATTTAAAGGAATTATTAGTTGCAAAGAGTTCACGTCCTTGACACTTTTATGGTTTTTTGATGGTTTTGAAGCACATTCTTGTGTCCCTAATTATCCGAGTTTCAAGTAGCTCTAGACACATTTGTATTTAGTACGTAATGAACACTATTGGACCAGTTAACGTGACTCTGCAAGGCTCTAGTCGAGCAATGCGAATCCACACGAGAATCAAACCGATAGACGAGAACCTTTCCGGCAACACAGTATAATGCGCAAGCTGTTGTTTATCATTTATGCACTTATATTAACCGTCGCTTTTATCCGTGGCACCCATACTATACTATCCTTTGTCCGCATAGCATACAAACATTTACTCCTTGTGTTTGTTGCTGTGGTGTGTGCTATCGGTAATATCACGGGCATCTCTAATCTTGACAGCTGCCGAAAGAAAACGTACGTAATAACATACACAGTGAACTTGTGTGTCATCTCTAAATACATCGCCGTAAAAATTGAAAATTAAACGAATCTGTCAGCTATAGTCTACTTTACATAGCTGGAAGCAAGACAGGAACTGCTTTTTCAGTTGCTTACGATACTTATCGTGATAAACTATCCACCCAATTTAACATAAAAATAACAAAATGCTTGACTAGTTCATAGGCTAGATCTGCCAGTTTATTAGATAATTATTCCTGTCGACTTATTGATGATAAGTTTGGCAAGAGTTTTCTAGTAAACATGGCCATTTTGCCTTATAAATTGATAATAAATAATAATGGGAAATACAGTTTATAGAGCCTCTAAGATGAAACAAACGCTCTAACGTCGTTTATTCAAAGCCTTAAACCTAATTAAGTTATTTGACAAAAATCGACGGCGCCGAATTGTTCCGGGGGTAAATACTCATTGGTAAATAGAAGATACAGAACTAAAATAAGTACACAAAATCAGTCTCTATCCATAATTTCGGTATTTCACGATATACAGGGGCAAAACTGATATATTGAGCGGCGTCTAACTCGTCCTTTATGTCTGATTGTAAGCGGAACAGACCTCCTACAACAAGAAGTCGATATTTGCCTTCCTTTCAAACAGTCGCTAGGCCTTAACAAATGATACGAAGTACCGATTGCAACTTGCATATAAAGTTGGGCGTTCACAAAAAAAATATCTATCCTACCTTTTTTCCTACTCTTTGTTGATATAGAGCGACAATTAAACTCACTGAATCTAAATGAGCTTTTCCAGCAACCCGTTTTGCTAGAAATCACATGATATGTACTAAGGATGACTAATACCTAATCCACGATGCAGCTCTTTAGGAAGTAGCATGGCTAGAGGATTTAGCATTTTCAACTGTATTGACTAAATACGCTAAGGCCCGATGACAAAAGAAAAACAATCTATTCTGCGTACAAAAAAAAAAGCTAGCTATGCACCATGTGTATACAAATATTATTATTTGCTAATGTCCCCGCTACCGTTTGTCGAGATAGTTTTATGGATAGCTAACCTGATTCGCGAGCTTTGCCCCGTGCTCTTTTTGCCATTGATACAATTGATCTCATTCGTTAATGCCATATCCGTTATCGTATTGGATTCCAGCAATTTTGTTACTCTGAAACAAGTAGCTTATTTTTCTGTCTTTATTGTTCCATTGCAATTCATTATCTGCTAAACTTTATGTATCCTGATCTCTAATTCAAAACTTCCAGTATAAACCCGAACATGTTACAGCCCGTTTGTATGTGTAAGGTTTTCCATCTTCCGTAAAGACTGAGTTGGAAATCGCTCTTTTCAAGTTTTATTCAGTTGAAAAACCCTTTCCAGTATATATTTTTCTGACGGCTATCGAGAAAAGGCTAAATCTCCTACAATGGGTACCGAAAATAACGAAGTATAAGTTTAATGAGTGTGATCTCAAAAAAAACGGATCACACCGCGCGCACTGGAGCTTCACGTTGCTCTGGGGTCTAATAAACACAGCCATTCCAGTAGTGTGTACTAATGCATTTGGTACATTTCCCTATACAATAAAAGATCTCTAAACTGATATCACAACCTTATTGAGAAACTGTAGAAAAACCGTTATTGATAATGTCCATCGTAACTTGTTAACGAAAATTTTCAGAAATAGTCTGAAAGCTAGCATTAACTCAATGCCAGTATTGAAAATGATCAAGTAATCGCATCTTCTTCGATCTCTTCCCCACCGTTCATCAATGCAACCAGGCCAGTCTGAGGTAAGCGAGGAGAATACCGTCATTGGAGGATAGCGCCATTCATCCATCTGTACACATCAACACTCAAGTGTGGCCACAAGAAACAAACAGTTTCGCTCCGGCCCAGTGTCCTGTCGGCGTTCTCGTTGAGCTCTATACTTGATACCGTCCATATATGACTCATATAGTCGGACTCTGTTGTATCTCGTCGAGATAATCGCGCTATTGGCGAACAGCAGCCGTAATGTTGGCAGCAGTAGCAACAGCAAGGAAATGGTGTACAGCACGATCACGTCTCGGCAATAGTCAGGGCAGCGGAAAGTAGACGGGATAAAACCAAATGAGAAATTTCCACTACTCCACATTGTCCCTCTCTACTCTGACAGAATCAAATGAATTGACTGGATGATCACAATCCGCTTATCGGAACGGGTTGCGATCATTCAACCGACAGCGACAGTAAACGGTTTTAACAAAATTACGCACGTAGCGTCACATGCAGCGATTATGATATTTTCATTTTTCGTACGAATTCTATTGCGTGGGTATACCGTGCGGCTATATTCTTGTCTGAAGCTTTCACAATGTCGCACTAATTGATATAGGGATAGGGTAAATTGATAAATTCTTTTCATTTGCGAACTTTTGAAGCCTACTACATTTAATAAAAGTCAGTTGTTACCTAACATATATATTGACAGTGCTGATTACGTTACTCATTTCGCATAGTATCGTAATAAATGTATTTAATATGGTTAGATTATGATCAGGATTTCAACATGAATGGTCCGTCCATAGATTGTTATTTTCGAAATTATCTAACTCTTCTAGTGCAATATACCGAATTTCGACAGAATTCGTTTAGATTTATAATGGCAATAGATAATAACTTATAATAAACTAGTTTCGAACTTTAAAATATATATAAAGTATGATCAGATTAACTGGTCGCCATTTCACGTCTTACCATGCACAAATCCAACAAGGACGCATAACGAGAGTATGTCATGGATATAGGCAGCACCAATGAGGGGCGCTGAACACAAAGCTGCACCAAGAACGAGACAGGTTCTTTCGCTCGCAATCTTCAGTAGGACGCTATATACAGGACCTGTAGGCAACAAACGTACCCATGTGTGCTTATACGTATTGGTACACTGAATTAGTGCCGATAAGCCACTAACCGAAATCATATTGAAACCCTGTGTTCACTTCTATCGAACATGGGTATGGCTTTAAAATTGATTGCTATATTAATAGTATTAAAACATGCGCTGAGAATGTTATAGCGCAAAGGTAAGTTTTAAGAGGCTTTTGTATTTTGCACCTGACGTCCTAATCTAATTACTATCTTTACCGGCTAGCTGAGAAAGCATAAGGGCAAGTGTTGCCGGCCATGATGCCTGCTCACGGCTGAGGCCCGCGAGCATTTCCATCGAACCAACGTAAACAACTGCGGATGATTTCAGTACAGCCATGGCAAAAAATATGTAAATTGCCATTGATACCGCCACTGCCCAACAACGCCGAGAGTCAGCTGAAACAGCTATTGAAGCCATTTTGAAGACCTGATAAATGATGCCTCAAGAATTTCCCAGATTTTGTGGGTTGTTACACGATGTACCTGTATAAGTAAACACAATACTGAAATACACAAACAGACGTGAATGGTAAGAAAAATCTGACCGAGGAAATCAATACAAATTGCGATCAAACCTTTGAATTTGAATGAGCTAACTTCAGATTTCGGTAATGACGTATTTTCGTACATGCTAAATTATATAAACCTACAGACTAAACAGGTCCTAGAGAACACGAGAGGATATTGTCTAGCTATATGCTATAGCCTTACGTTAAGCTACGTAGTTATAACGCTGACAAGTTACGTTAATATTATTTTTGGGTGTCGTTCGATAACTGTAATTTTGTAACCGTGGTCTATAATGCGACCGTTCAAGACGGCACTGTTTGCTATAAATGTACAGTAAAGCTATCAAGAAAGACATGTGTGTTTTCTATCATTTTGCCAGTAACGAGAAATCCCTGCATATTATGTAAAAAAATTATTATTATATATATAGATAGATAGGTAGAAATATGTTTTCTAGAGGCAAGCTTTCCTTAGTTAGCTCTTAGGACAATATCGGTAAGCCCATTCTATACAAATTGCTTTTTTATTGACGATTATTCTCATCAATCGAACTTTACTCTCGAAGGAGAGTAACAATGCTAATTAAAAAAAATGTACAATCATATATTACGAAACGGCCAAATAATGCAGATACGTTGTCTTTGCTCAGACCCGGGACTACTTCATTCTGACAAACATTACTACACATCCATGGAACCCACATTATCTGACTGCGTTGATTTCACCATCTTTTTAAAGACACTTGAATGACTCGCACTTAGCATTAAGCTGTCAATTACATGTGGGTATATAAAAAAAAAAAAAAAAAGGTCACTGATAAAAGGTTATTGCCCTTATGTTACTCGAGTTAAACGGGCGATTGTATAAGGGGCGATCTGTTCTTCCTTACGAATGGTGAGATTCTGCTCATGTTAATTAACTTGAATTAGACGCAAGTTTCAGCTAGATTGTCTCCGGCGTTTAAGGGTAGTAAGTACGGCGTTTTCCGAAAACATGAAAATGTCAATCGACTGTCTAACAAATGCCTTTAACTAATGAGGGCTCCCTATGGTATCCTGAGCGTATCAACGGTATCATTAGCGAATTTAACCAAGCCTTAAATTGATGTGTTTGTAACAATAGTTTTTTTTTAATCGCATTTCATTTTTTTTTTCGTATACAAGACGAAATACAATGTTGTCTGGTTAAACACGTTTTAATGAAGTAGTATTTAGTTGTTAACTACCGCGGAGAGTATACGCGGACCATTCAAGAAGGTTGAGTGTATCTAATTTTACATTAGCTTTAAAAGACTAACAGGTCCAGGTAAATGAAAAACGTAACAATGTCTTGTTTTTTGCAAAGCAGCTAGCTACGACTTGACTGTGCTTTTTTCAGTGAACACATCGTTAGGCGAGCGTGTCCTATTGAACTTACTAATAATGCAAGGTAAATAGTGATGTTCGAAAGCGGACACGTTCTTAGATTCTGACACTTACTTTTCCTGGCAAGCTTTTCCGTAGTTGTCACTATACGTGCTAGATTCTACGCTGCGCAAGTTCTAATAAATTCCACCGTTAGCTTTGCACACACTGCACAGTCTTCGTTGGCTGGTGTTAGCTATTGGGGCGGGTATTCACCCCCTAAACGCGATTACTACGACAGCGATTCGAATACGAATTGAATTGAAGCTACGATACTGCCCTTTTGAGCGTACGGTGGTAGCGAGAGCCGCGCAGAGAGAGACGCCTCTTCGACGTACCTCACCTGCCTTTAACACCTGTGCATTCTCCCACGATTGCGTTAAACACCCTTCTCTTGAACGAGAAGAGAACGTAACCAAAGTCCCCCTCCTCCGCAGAGATGGCGCTTTTCAAGGAGTTACTCGAAGAAACAAAGAGGAGGAACAAACACATGTTACTCGCCCTCCTTCCACGTAGTGCAGGAATTGGAATTGCAGGACGTTCTTTGCCGGCACGTTTTAGACGCCAAAAGTCTTCCCGCTCGCATCGAGCGTCTTGCGCATGCGCTACACGTGGTACTATATCATTTCTCGATTATGACGAAGCAAGTGGCATTTTGCTTGTCACTGTGAATCAAGTCCCAACGAGCTCATTCATTAAATTTTTTACTTTTTTTTTTTAACCTATTTAAAACTATTTAACCTTTAAAATGATGATGTATGAAAATATACCACTCTTGATAAAGTACTTAAATCAATTACTCATTGCTAGTGCAGATACGAATGTTAATTATGATGTGACTGTAAGTGTAGCCTAGACAAACCGACAGGTCAATTGGATTATATGTTGTGCTAAAATACACTATTGACTTAAATACATACATCAAAGGAGTGAGACAACTGACGTGAATATAATGTACGTGGCAAACATTATCATGCTTCTACGCCGACCCAGAATTCGAGTGCTTGCCAAAGTAGCGCTAACATTTTTACACTGTAGATCTTGTTGGCTATGGTGTGTTTATTACGCTCAATGCAGTACAGTAAGAAACTGCTTTTTTACAAACATTTACAGGGAACGGTACCGAACTCGGTCCTCTCCTTTACGCTTTTTTTTTATTTTGAGATTGTAATTGAGGAAAAACAGATATTTCAACGAAGTATCTATATGCTAGAAATGCGTCATTCCTGAGAGCCACGCTTATTCAATATCACCACCATTCATAGCGATTACAGTTTCAATCTGAACTCATTTGAACGGCTTTTTGGTAGCACGAATGACTGAATTAACGCTGTTATACCAAAACTTGTAGGATTCTCGCTCCACACATGATAATTCATGTTCAAATCTGGGGTGTTCGGTGGCCACATGTGCTAATACCAGAATTGTTTTGTCAAACAGCTAGTCCTTTATTAATCGGCTTATATAAGCCGGTACATCAATTTATCGAAAGACGTATGGTTTTCTTTCAAACACTTCAGCTATTTATGCTAGCACAACAGTTTATAAAACGTGCAGATAAATTTATTTAGTAATGCATTTGCCTTTTTGGACGAAATACGATGGCATGACGTCTTTTTTCACAGGACATTACACTCAGAACAGGAACGATAGCAGAAAGGTCACTTTTTTTTCATAGTTGGCACATTTTTTGAATTGTGACTAAGTCGATAATTGCTTTCTTAGTTTATTTTTGCGTTGAGATATCATGGTTTTGCTATATAGAGGACACCTGTCCGATTTTTATGATATATGACACATATACATGAGTTCACTTTTGGAAACACTTATGCGTGCAGCACAAAAAAAATTGTATAATAAATGATCTTGGATTAAATTCTCAAAATGACGCATCTTTGTTCGCCACGACAAGTTTGTTGTTCTGCTATAGAGAGGACCGGCTTCTGCCCCCCTCTACCAGGATAAGTGGATGAGCGCTTGCCGGTTACGATAAACAGCCCGCCAAAATTCGTCCCAATTTGGGTGCCGCACCCTGTGCAAGTGAAAGACTCCTTGGCATGAGATTATTTACAAGTCAACGAAGTGAAAATGATCTGCTTGCGATGGTGTCAACGACCATATGCTTTTCAATAGTCGATTTTGTTAGGAATTAATTTTTTGGTATTCTTTTGTTGCCCGTAACTTAACAAAGGGCAACTACCCTGAACTTTGCCGTTGCAGCCAGACTGCCACTGTACAGAACTTACCCTCTCTTCCTTCGTAAAATGTAAGTGAGAAGAGGAATGAAGTAGAGCTTTTTCTGAAAAAGTGTAATAATGT